TCAGAGGGAGAAGGTATATGGTAAAGAGAAGCTCCTTGGCCCATCATCCAAAGTCTTGGGGATGGTGCTGTCCTGGCCCAGCTCCTGCTGCCATCGAGCAAGGTGGGAGATGGTTTCCACCTGCCCACGTGTGTGGTTTTCTGGCCATGAGTCTCCAGCTCTGGATAGCCCATCTCAACTATCTATCCCTTTCTGTTCTAAGGGGGCAGCATTTCTGCAAGTGCCTTTTGGATTGGGGGGGATCCATGGTCCTGAGTTTGGGAATGGGGGTTTGGACATCCCCAGAGAAGGCTGGGACACAGCCTGTGGTTTTTAACCTGCTTCTGCTGGACATTTGGGCACCCAGCACCTACTGTAAGACTGCCAACCAGTGTGTTATGTACATCATGGGAGTCAGCTCTGTTCTGCAGGGTAATTTTTAGTTCTGATGTGAGTCTTGTAAGTAGCTAGATCACCTGTTTAGGGGGGAGAACACAGGTTTTCATTTTTCTTGGAAAAATTGCCTTTTCAGGCAACATAGTGTGTTGCTACTGACTTCTGGAGCCATGGCCATGTCTTTTTTAATTCACCCCTATGTTTCCTGTGACCCACACACCCTCTTTCCTTCAGCTGTCACTTAGGTGCACACCTCATCATCTCCAGGCTCATCTGTGGCATGGAAGGCCTTCCTTTGCTCTCCTGCAAGGAGCATGCCTGCAGCATGACTCCACACCCTTGTGCAATTTATTCTTTTCCAGTTAATGTGTCAGTTTGTCCATGTGGGTTAGGTCCAAGGACTATTAGTTCATTTTGTAATACGTGTGAGGTGCTTTCATCTCTGCTCCTGGTGCTGCCTCTGATCAGGCAGGTTACAGCAAATCCCATGCTTCAGGTTTGGGGTTTTTTTTTTCCCTTCTGATGCATTCCCTGATGATACCACCTCACTCATCATTCCAGATCCTTCCCATCTGTTCCTCTCAGTTCAGACTCTTCACCACTTCTTGTCTATCTCAATTTCTTCTGAATGTTTTATGAGCCCCCTGAGCTCGCCCTTACCTTTTCCTTCACTTCCACGCTTGAATAACAACCTTCAGATGGTTGAAAATGATCTCCTTGCAAGTGATTCAGTTCTTTAATCCTTAGCAAATATTTCCACAAAGGTTTGACATCGTTCTACTCGGTATCTGGGATTTATCTGTTCTTTAAAATGCCATGAAACGTTTCCTGTTAAATCTCCTAAGAACTGGTGGTTTAATACCTCCTCCTGTACATCCTTCTTGCTCTGTCATTTTGGCTCCTGTATAAATACCTTTGCTATAGAAGTTTTAATGAGATTTTAGGTTTTAATACATTTTTCCCCTGTTACCTTTGCTTTATAATCATTGTCTTCATGCCTCCTCTGATAATGTAGGAACTGTCAGTGCCAAGAAATTCCTGAGACTCATGGACATGAAACCTTAAATTAAATGTAAGGAGGAAGAGATAAGAACAAATTACAATAGCACTGAGAGCAAGAGATTACAACAGGGTATTTGGTTAAAATGTGGTTTTCATAATATATGTTCCTGAAAATTGCAAATGTATTCTGTTAGATCATGTTTATGAGCCAGCTTTTGTTATGCTGAGCTGCAAAGATTGCTCGCTGTGGATCCAAATGATGTGAGGTACCCAAAAAAGAAGAGCAGGTTGTTACTGTTAGAACTCACAGGAACCTCTGAAAAAAAAAAGGATAGAAGCCTCCTTATTCTCCACTGGGGTAGGACAGGAGTTCTCCCTGGTGTGGCTGCCTCTGCAAGTGTACCAGCTTCGAGGAGACAGTGCAAAATTATATCATTTAGACATAGGAGGGAGTAAAATTAAATAGCCATGAGATGAGCATGCCATTAAACAGATCTCATTTATAATGGGCTCTTATGCAAATTGCCTTTGAGCAGTGGGTAGGAGAAAATGAAAAGAAATTAATAAGGACAATGTGGACTAAAAAGTTGCAGAGGAAAAAAAAAAGCTAAGTGTTTCACAGCTCTCTCCACACACCCCAGAGTGTTCAATGAGCTTTCCCATTAGCCAGGGAAATATAAGGATGTGATATTAAGAAAACTTGAGTTCACTTATTAAATTTAAGGGGCAAAGGTTTGGGTTTATTAAGGGTCAAACCCCTGTTTTTTCTTGTTCTGCAAAAGACAGGGAAAGCTGACAGCTTGGAACTCTTGAAAACAGTTTATTGCAACAAAATCCTCTTCTTATCCTCTGATAATGTCAACAGTATGAGAAGTAATACGCTGAATATATTCAAGAATAAGGGATCTGTGTTTTCTTCTGCCCCTTTAATTACAAAAGGGAAGAGTTTTAGCTTGGCCCACTGAAGCCAGCAAAACCATCTGCAGATCCATGTTGCTTTTCTCACTCTTAAGCTGTGCAGCAGTCAACTTGTTTAATTAATATTGGCCACCTTGTCCCTAATTATTGCTGCTTTCCCAAATTCTCAGCTGAGGCAGGATATACTGAAGGCAAGGATTTTTTCCTTTCTCTTTTTTTTTTTGTGTATTATAACATACATAAATATTTATACACTGAGAGAGCCAGATTATAAACACCTTAGATATACAGTTTTGCTGTGTATTTTTATACTTGAGAAACAGGATTTGTTTCTGAATGATGTGAAAAATCCTGGAAGCAACATCCTCTTCCCATGCTATAGCATTTTGCTCTAGAAACACTGCTGTGGGAGTGCTGCTCTGGGGGGGAGAAGGATCCCTACAGTATTTTAAGGAGGTAAACCTCAATCTCTTCCACATCCAGTCGTTTTCTGCCACTAAAACCAGGCTTGCAGCTGTACCTGTCCTGTGTCCTCCAAGTAAACCAAAATTCTCTGATGGAAGCTGAGTTTCCCACTGGTTCTATTTTCAACCCTTGCAGCATTCAATTTCTGACAGTGGAATCTGATACTTAAAGCCACAGACATTAATTATTACCCATTGGAGGTCGCAGTTTCAACCCATGGGACATTAATTTTCCTCATATACAGAAAATTCCAGCCTGTAAGTTTTAATTAAATATTTCAGAAGTACGTTTTCTTGTCAATGGACGACGGGTTCTTATCCTTTACCCTTGATATTTGGCTAATTCTGCATATAATTATCAGCTTATTTTGCAAGCTTTCTTCAAAGCACTTTCTGTGTGGAAATCCATTTAGCTGTTATGTATTTATCATTAAAAAAAATAATCATCTTTGCCAATCATTGGCCAACGTAGTCAAGAAGGAGATGGGGAAAAACATCTTTCAGGTCCTATTTTCTCTCCAGTCTTTCCTTGGAGGCCATAGGTAGCAAACTTGAATCTGACTATTTTTTTCCCCATCTGAAAAGGAAAAAGCTTTAATTTTCTTTACAGAAGTCTCTCTGCTGGGGGCCCACCCTCCAAAGCTGTTTTAACAGCTGAAAGTGCAGTTGTGTATTGCAAAGTCCCAATTCCCAGGCAATTCCTCCCCACCTTAGGATCACTTTGCAATTCCTTGGGGTTTTCTGCTGCTGCAAAGGCACTGGGGAACTTAGGGAGCACTTTCTGTTAACCCTTCCAGCCTTTTAGGTCCCAGGTAGCACTCCTGATGGTTGTACACTCAAGTCAGCATTATCCTGCTGTCAGAAGGCTCCATCCTCTGATACTATCTTGTTCTTCTCCTAAACAATTAATAAAACGAAGACAAAAAGCCTAGAGGTTTAAAATATGTAATTATAGTAGTAATTTAGAGCTAGGAAAACGCTGCAGAACCCAATTACCATTACACATTTCAGTAATGACTGACTTGGCCAAATATCTATGTTTTGTGTGTGAATTCCATGACAGAATCCAAGACAACATGCTTAAGTAGAAGGGGAATATTAATTCCAAGTGCTGAGTGCATCTGGATGAGACATAAAAGTTGCTCATCCACCTAGTGAGCAGGAACCTGCATTATATAGCCTGTCACAGCTTAAATTTTGAGCAGCAGGGCAGGCAGGAACAAGCATCAGAGGCAGAAAGCTTGAATTGTTCTAAGGGATGGCTTGGAAAACAAAAAAAATATTTAATACCTGATGGTTTTGCAGAATATGGTTAATTCTTTCTATGGGAGAGATTTCACACAACTTGAATTGATTTGGGTGTTTCCCATGGAATTGGAAATGGCCAGCTGAGGTTAGTGGGGGGTTTGTGGTTTTCCTGCTCTTCATCTTCTCCAGCTGGTGAGAAGGAATAGATGGGATTTGTGTTCTGGTCTCAACTTATTACTGGCTGGACTAATGAGGTCCCTGCTCTACAGGGAACAAAAGTGCCTGTCTAGTGATGTCCAGTGATACTACTGCATGGTCTTTAGTAACCTGCAGAGATTTCGCTGTGCTGGTTCCCAAAACAGGTTATACTGGGACAAAAACTACATACAAATGAGCCTTTTTTGTTAAAATAATGAAAAAACCCACCAGTGACTCAGGAGCATTTTGCAAGTTGGGGCTCTCTAGGTGGCTGTGTGATTCTGCTGGTCAGTGGGTGGTCTCTGAGGGATTTTTTTCCTGATTATTTAAGAGTGTGCTAATTGGTACCTGCCACAAAGCATTCATTTTTGCTGGAAAATCATTATCACACATGGAAATGTTTTAACCTTTGTGTCCCCAGCCACTTTTTCCCACAAGGTGCTGTGCCTCTCCAAGTGTTGGGTGCAGTAAATGGCATCCAGAAAACAAACTGGGTTTAAAACCAAACAAAACTCCAGCAAACAACCAAAAATTAAAAGTTTCCCAAGTGCAATTTCCAAGCTGAATGGGGTTCACTGTGCAGAATGGGGTAAATCAAGGGGGTCCGTGCATCTAAGGGGATGGGGTCTTCTGCTGGGGGCTATCAAGAGAGGTGCCCAAATTATCCAAGGGGTGTTGTGTGACAGGACATGGATTTGGGCAGCAAGGCTGGTGTGAGAGATTCCTGCCCCTGCTGCTTCCCCTCTGCCTCCCAAGCTGTGAAAGTGAGAAGTTTCTGGGGCTGCACTGGGAAAGGTGAAGCGGAGCCGCAGAGCTGCCGTGGGGAAGGCATCAGGAGGGGGTTTGGGCAGCACCAAACCTGTTGAGGAGGCTGCTGAGCCCCAGCTTGGTCTGACCTCTCGTTTCCCCTCCAGAATCGGCCGGCTCTTCGATGGCACGGAGCCCATTGTCCTCGACAGCCTCAAGCAGCATTATTTCATCGACAGGGACGGGCAGATGTTCAGATATATCTTGAATTTTTTAAGGACGTCGAAACTCCTCATTCCTGATGATTTCAAGGTGAGATTTAGGTGTTTTGCATGGACCTTGGTAGGCAGTTTAGACCAGAGCCCTAGCTGAGGGATGGAGGGGGGGATGGAGGGAGATTTTTAGGAGTGTGGTGCTTGATTTCAGGTGCCTGGCCAAGGTAAGCATGAGGTTGCCCAAGTGGCATCTGTCAGCCTTTCCTAGAGTGGCATCAATGTTAAATTCTCCCCTCCTGGCTCTGGCAGCCACCTCGCCACCTTTGACCCAGGGAAACTAAAATTCATAGGATGCTGGTGGAGGTAGAAAGGTTGTTACACTCTGGAAATAACTCGTGAGCTTGGCTAATTACTTGTCCTCTCATCCACTTTTGTGCTTCCTCTCTGATTGCAGCAGCTCCAGCTTCCACTCCCACGCTGAAATTCAGAGAATGGTGTGGGAATCACAGTATTGACAAAATAAACTGCACACATGGTAATATTTGAGTATTAAGTCATAGAATATTTTCTCCTCCAGACTCTTGAATGCATACTGCAGGTTTAATTGGGGAGTTTAAGAGAAGTGAGGGATAAACAGTTCCACGTTCATTATTTCCACTTTAATAAAGAGCTTGCTTTTTATTTCTTTTTAATAAGAAATTAAATCTGTGGTAGTTCACCACATTAGATATTAACCTACAGAGGTAGAGCTTCAAACTCCATGTGATGTTCTGTGTTTATCCACTTGGAAGGAGGTGGGTGTGTACCTAGTGTCAGCAAATTGAGTGCTGGAGTCCATGGTTGCAATCAGAACAGATCTTTATCATTATTTAATGAATCCATATCAAAGTAGCTGCCTGTGCCCTTAGTTCACTGCAGGAGAGAGAGCAATTCAGCTTGGACAGGAGGGGTGGTGGGGAAGGGTTGGAGCAGCTCACGCTGGTGAGGGACAAAAGACTGCACACATCTGAGGTGGATTTTTGTGGTGTTTGGGGCATCATAGGTGTGAGGTTGAGTTTGAGAACTGTGTTGCAGCAAGCTTTAAATCATCTGCTCCCATGTGTGACCAGGGTAGGTCTGCCTGAGTGATGTGGGAGTTTGGAGCTACCTGATAAGAACCACATCCCTCTTGGAAGCCTTAGCACGGCTCTCGGAGGGAACCAGGACTCCAGAAAAGAGAAGAGCCACCTTCCATGCACCAGTGAGAAATTATATGTGCAGAGCCTTTCAAACACATAAATTACACTGTAGCTGTGCTGAAATTCAAAACTTAACTCCTGGCAAGATCACTCAACCCACAGGATGTTCAAAGAGGTCTCCTTCCCACCTAGGCTTTGAGGTGTCCAAAATATTGGCTCTTAAACTTAACAGCAGTCCTTGTTTCTTAAAAATATATAGATGAGATGACTTTTTTTGGTGCCCATTAAATGTCAACAGTATTTTAGGCATGGTTTAGGTGCCCCTTTCTCCTAAAGCATGCTGTCTGTGGCTCAACTTCAGGGCTGTGCTGACTGTTAGCAGTCTGTTGTCATTCTGTTCTGTCTTCCCTCAGCTTCTTGTCTTGCTTTTCTCTGTAGAAAAGTTTTCCAAATGGTCTTATTCTCTTCCACCTAGAAAAACAACATTTCCTTGGGGTTGTTTTTTTTTTTTTTAATTTAAAAAAATGGCAGTAGACAGACTCCAGATCATCAGTTCTAAATTACTCCTGTCTTGGCTACACTTAGAAACGCGTTCCCTGCCCCGGCGTCGGCGACGAGGTAGTAAACAACACTGTTGGCAAATGGGGAGGTATTAAAAAATACTTAATTTTTAAAATGCAGTAATACGTGCCATTCGTTATGCAAATATCCGAATCATTTTACACTCAGAAGCATCTCAGGCTCCCTCATTTACATTCTTATACCTGTTACAATGCCTGCTAGTGTCGCTGGGAGACGCGATGGATCCTAGTGATGGATTTCTGAATCCTGATTGAATTCTCTTCCATCTGTTCCATTATTCTATGACATCACTATGGGGATAAAATATAGGGGGAAAGTGGGATTTTTGCCTGGATCTTTCCATAGCAGGAGGGGGTTGAGAAAGCAACACTCCCCTCACGAGTGCTGCTGCACCCAACCTGTTTCAAGGGGCTGATGGTGTTTTCTGCCTGCACCTCCCTAATTATCTCTGAAGGCTTCCAGATCTAGAGCCTGGATAACCATATACATTAAGAGATGGAGTAGCAAGGCCTCTTCCTTAACTGTGCACAGTAATATCTGTGTCTTTCAGGACTACAGTTTGTTATATGAAGAAGCAAAATATTTCCAGCTTCAGCCCATGCTAGGAGAGATGGAAAGGTGGAAACAGGACCGGGAGAGTGGCCGCTTCTCCAAGTCTTGCGAGTGCTTGGTGGTGAGAGTGGCCCCAGATCTTGGGGAGAGGATCACACTGAGTGGGGATAAGTCCTTGATAGAAGAAGTGTTCCCTGAAATTGGAGACGTGATGTGTAACTCTGTCAACGCCGGCTGGAACCACGACTCGACGCACGTCATCCGCTTCCCACTGAATGGCTACTGCCACCTCAACTCAGTTCAGGTAGGAGGTCACGTTGGGGGTGTTTTGGGAGGGAGCCTGCTGGCCAGGTGTCAATGGGGTTGACCCTCATCCCTGTTGCTGGAGCGTTGTGATGGACAAACTCAACGGGAGGCTTTGAGCTCGTTATTTGCCTCTATGGGTCAAGGTTCAGGTAGGAGGTCACGTTGGGGGTGTTTTGGGAGGGAGCCTGCTGGCCAGGTGTCAATGGGGTGACCCTCATCCCTGTTGCTGGAGTGTTGTGATGGACAAACTCAACGAGAGGCTTTGAGCTCGTTATTTGCCTCTGTGGGTCAAGGCTGCTGTCTTGGCTTAGTTCATACCTATCACCACCAGGTCTCTTGGCAAGCCAACTGCAGTCGTGGGCAAACCTAGGACAGATGTTGGTCCCAGCAAACAGACACTGCATATTTGGAGTAACATTTTGTTGACATTTGAATACCATTCAAGCCTGTGTCCAGTCCCTGGCCCTGCTTTGTTATCAGTGGTTTTCTGGCTTGATGAGAGGGCACAGGCACAGCTCAAACCAGGGAGAGAAGGTGCCACATCCCCACAGAGCCTGTTCTGAGGGCACTGGGAGCTGTTCCTTCACCTGAGAAAGGTAGTGGAGGTGCTCTGATTTGCCAAGAGTCCACAGGAGCTCTGAAGCTAAATAGAGGAGCAAAAAGGAGAAGCCCTGGTGTGTCTCACCCTTTTTCCAAGTGTGACAAGTGAGAAAGAGGTGACAGGGCAGTAGCATTGGCAAGCTACTGAAAGGAGGACCACATTTCCACAGGGGGAGAACACAACCAGTGTCCTCCTTCCTCCTGAAACAGGACCCAGTGGTGCTCCCAGTGTTTCTGGAGAAGGGGACAGCCTGCAGCCAGAGGAGAAGGCATCTCTTGAGCCTTGCCCAGTTGAGGGGACTTTGCCTCAGCCCTCTCTGCTGCCTTTCAAACCACAACACCCCAGGAGATGTTTCAATGAGACTCTCAGGCAAGGTGTGTAACGTGAAGGACACAGCAGGGGGAAGTTACCACAAGTGTGGTTAAAAACTGGTGTTGCCTTTTGCCAGGGTTACCCAGGTCTTCTGCATTTGATAAAGACCTGTGTCATCCTGCTGGAATAAATCACCCTGTGCTTGTTACTTTGGAAGAAGAAGACACATTCAGTCTTCACATTCATTCAGCAACACAACCAAAGGCTCATCTGCTTATTGCAGACAGGGAACCACCATTTCTGTGCTCTCATGTAACCCTCCTCTTTCACTTTCAGCACTTTTTCCTAATTTTTGTGGCTAATTAGAGGCCTGTAGTGCTGGGACAAGGGTAATGGTTTTCAACTAAACATTTAGACTAGATATAAGGAGGAATTTTTTTATGAAACACTGGCACAGGTTGCCCAGGAAGGTGGGAGAAGCCCCAAGAGTAGAGATGCCAAGAATATTTACTGGTGTGAAAAACCCAGTCAGAGTGACAAAATATGCACAGGCTTCAAGACAGATGATGATCCCATGTTGATAATGCTGCATCTTCTGTTTTGGGGGGATGTAAACATCTCCCAGTCCTGATAATGATGTGATGGGAGGCAGGGACCACCAACAGACCTGGAGAGTGAGGTACAGACCCAACCCAAGGGTTTGTCCAGGGCCAGGCTGGTTTCCTGATGAGTTGTTTCCACAGCATTTTTTCCTCAGGACCTACATTGTTCTGCTCTATTTCTCAGTGGCTTGCACTGAGACTTTTTGGGGGAATTTTGGTTTATATTGTTAAAAGCTAAAGATGAGGGTAAACAAAATTGCACAGATATTTTCATGGTTGCTTGAAAAAAGCTGGGCAAGGCTCAGCAGGCACCTGCTCCCAGCACAACCCCAGTGAGGTTCAATCATGCTGGACATGGTCTCACATCCTGTGGGGTGCAGGAGCATCATCCCCCCCTTTTGGGGCTGGTACCATCACAGTCTTCTTCACAGAGGAGGCAAAGGAAGCAGAACAGATGAAGGTGATGATAAAAGTAGCAAAGAGCCTAAACAAGGGCAAGAACACCTCAGCCCTGTAGTTACAGTAAACCAGCATGAAAATGGGTAATTAAAACAGCAATAATTGTGGTGTGGAAGGAGACCATGTTCTTAGCAGCCTGGAGCTGGTGCTGGGAGCCCAGAGCTTTGCCCCATCCTTTATTGGGTGAGCTGTGTTGGGTGCATCCCACTGGCTGTGAAAAGGGAGGAAAGAAGGCGAATAGGCAGAACTCGTTAGTGCCATAATTAAAGTTAAAAGGTCCTGAGTTTTACCACAGGGAAATGCAGCCACAAACCTTCAGAGTCATCGTTGGGTTTTAAGTCTCTAGGAAATAGGATGGTAATTTTTTTCTGAAGTGATGACTGCAGTTATCTGCATTGCTGCCATTTTAGTGGAGGTGTTAGCTCAGCATCCTGCTGTGAAATCCTCTTGGATTGTAAATTTTGTGACACAGAGAACACGTTTTTCTGTGGCTGGAAGAATACTGGATTTGTTGGAGGTACTAAAAAAAATAAAATATATTATTCTACTTGTTGCCCAGTGGCCAAAGTCAGTAGAAATTGGTGCAATCCAATGAAGCAGAGGGAAACAGCAGGTCTCTGGAATCACTTTTCTTGCCTACCTGGGCCCATCTGACAACAGGAGCTCTCATCCTCAGGCAGCAAATAGTCCCTTTATTGACTTACACATCAACGTTTGTTTTCTCTTGTTTGTTTTTTTTCTTTTGCAGGTACTTGAGAGGTTGCAGCAAAGAGGGTTTGAGATTGTTGGCTCGTGTGGAGGTGGGGTGGACTCTTCCCAATTCAGTGAATACGTACTGAGGAGAGAACTCAGAAGGACATCTCGTGCACCCTCCGTCATTCGAATAAAGCAAGAGCCTCTGGACTAAAAATGGACACCTTTCTTTATGACTTTTGCTATACAACAGGTGCAGTGTTACAGTTTCAGTTGCCCACCAGCCCAGGTACTTTGCACATGTGTAGAAAAAAAAAAAGGAAAAAAAAAGAAAAAAAAAAGAGAGAGGAAGGAAAAAAAGAAAAAAAAAAAAAAGGGGACGTTTCATGTGCAGTTTGGACTCCAAACAAGTCTTGGAACTCAAATTGAATAAAAGACACGTTTCTATCCAATCTAGAGACCACACCTGAATTCATATGGGAACATTTGGAGTAGTAGTCATAAGAATAAGAACCTCAAGGTGTAAAGGAAAACACACACATATATATATATAAAAAATATGTATGTATATGTATGTATGTACATATATATATGTATGTATATGTCAAAGGGTAGGAAATGCAACAGCCCAGAAGTGGCAGATGAGGTTGGTGCTGTGATGGCCATGAAGTGTCCTAGCCCTCACTAGGGGTGTACAAGCCATGAGCACGGGGTGGGGCACACACAGCCTGTTCTTCACCCACCTTCCATTGCCAAACAGCCCCTCTGGGACGTGGCCACACCTTGACTCAGCTCCCTTGGGATGTGGAGGGTTCTCTCTGTCTTTTTTTTGGAGAGGTGGCTGGGCAGGCCTTGAGGTGACCACCATCCCTAGTCGACTGGAGTTTTCCATGTAGTTTGTACAGGAGTCCCACACGTTTTTGTCTGCCCTCATGTGAAAGATTAACTTTTCTTTTGAATGAGGTTTTTTCTTTTTGTTGTTTTGTTTTGTTTTGTGTTTGTTTTTTTTTTCCAAAGGGGGCCAGAATAATTAATATTTGGTAGAGACGCTCTGGTTTGAATCTGCTGCTTTCCTACAATTTTTTTCAAATTTTATAATGTATTAAATACAATAAACTCTGTTTCAAATACCGAGGGTCTGATTTAAGCCCACAGGAGCAGAGAGAGGTGTGAGTTGTGTTCTTCTGCCTGGAGAGTGAGCTGGTCAGCCCCATGAGTTACCCCATGGGCTGCGTTGCTGGGGGTAGCAGGTGGTAAGTCCATGTCCTGGGGTTAGATGTCCTACAAGTTCTTCTCTTCCAGAGCCTCACTGAGGCCAACTCTGCCTGCTTTGGGATTTTGGAGAGGTGCCACATCCTGATCCTGCTGCACGGACTGTTCCTGGGTTGATGCTTTCCCACCTGAGGTGCACCAGCAACTGCCACTTTTCCTCCAAAGCACCTTTTTTATGCAATATTCCAGATGTTCATTCTAGTATGGAAGTTTTCTCTTGATGCAACAGCTCCATTCATTTTGGTGACACTTTGCTATTTATTTAAGAAAAAAAAAAATTGTTCAATACATGTAAGAGGGTTTTTAATATAGTCTGAGAACTAAGGAAAAAACTACCACTTTTCTGGTTTTTATTAAAAAAAACATCAGAGGACATACTGAAATAACTCTCTGGCAGCACGTATCAATGGTTTTGAAATGATTGAAATGTGGAAATGAGTGAGGGGGGTGGGGCTGCAAAAATTAAGGTTCATTAGCAGGTTATTAGATCTTCAATGTGATTCTGATTTGTCTATTCCCAGCCCTGAACCAGCTGCCTCCTTGCAAATGCTCCTTTTCAATCAGCAGCCAAGTAGTCCTCTGACAAAATAAACCAATGCTTGCTCTTACTGCCCACAATTTGGTTATTAGTTTGAAGCTGGGAAAGCTAAAACCCTGGGAAATCAATATTTTCAGCAGCTCTTCAACCCCTTGGGAAGCGGTATGAAATTTGGGATGTCTAAAAAGATGCCAGTTCCCCAGGAGTGCTTTGAGAACACAGGGCTGAGGTGAGAGCCTCACCTCTGGTGCCTCCACACCGTGCCCTGGAGATGTGGTTGTGGTGGCTGTGAAGCCCAAAGGTTCTCTCCATCCACCCCTAGAACCACCCACTAGACTCCGAGACCCTGAATGTCTCTGCAGTGAAGATGTGATCGTGGACAAACAAAGCCATGGCTGATGACAAATACCTGCAGGGATAAGGCAGATGTAGAATTTTAGAGACAAATTAGATCAGTCCTGTTTGCAGTTGAGGCTTACAATAGCTTTTTTTTACAAAAATATTCTTTAGAAAAACTGATCAAAAGACTAATAAGCAATATATCCTTGGAGGGGGTGGTGGGGAAACCAAGAAGGATGAGGTTGTGGTCAGCTGGTTTCTGGAGGTTAGTGATTTTGACATGTATGATTTATCTAATTTTTCTATTAAAAATTATGACTCCATTTTGTGCTATCAGTGGTGCTGCATTTCACAAGAGGAAGAGCTGCAGTGAAGAGCAGCTGCCAACGTTGTACCTCAGCACTTTAGCTAAGAGGCCACCAGGAGAACTGTTGGGTGCCACCCAACGCCCCTCCCCGGGATGAGACACGGGCAGAGGAACTGGGTCTTCACCTCTTCTTTTGGATTCCTGCAATAACCATCCATCCAGGGCTTAGTTTTCCCTCTTGCCTCCCTGCTGCACCCCAGAGCCACGTGATGGAGAGCTGAGTGTGGATCCTGGCACGCTTGGATGAACCTTTCAACCGTGAGTGTCCCGTGGAAGACTGAATTAATCTACCCTCAGCCAGGGAAAGTGAAGCCCCCTTTCCTCACTGGGGCAATCTCTCTTTCCAGAAGCACTCCTTGTCAAGAGGTGTTGCTACTTTATTCCATCTCCAGGTCCTTCTGGGCTTGCTGGCATGGTTTTCCTCTGCGTTGCCATGGGTCTAGAAGAAAGCTTGACTGGCCCAAGCAGGTAGAGTTGAGGCATTGCCCATCCAATTCTTTTGCTTTATGGTGAACAGGCACTGATTGAAAGGAGAAGAGAAACGTTTGTGTCAGAAGCATGACTTTTTTTTTTTCAACAGCCTTTAAAAATGGATGGCTCTGCTAATTTACAAAGGTTTTACCATCACCAGAATGACTTGTCAAGAGCATTGTTCTTGAATTCTTCATATTTTGGGGGACTTGAGGGAGAACGAGTTGGATTCTGGGTGGTGAGAAAAAGAACTTTTATTGACCCATGGTCAATTTTTCAGAGAAATAAAAACATTTATTTCCATCTGTCATTTCTTGACTCTGGAATTCTATATTATGAATTATTTCTAGGGACAACTGGTATCTGTATGTTGGCATTCGTGCTGCCTGAGGTTTATTTACAGTGGAAATGAAACCAAGACATCCTTAGGGCCTGTAGACCAGTTGCTTTTTTTCTCAGACTTCACTTTGAGTGGTTTATTATCTCTGGAGGGTCTGGAGGGATCGCCACCACCAAAAATCAATACATTGCATCAGGTCCCTGCCTTGGCTTTGGCTGCTGCCTCATTGATCTGGTTGTGGAAGACCCCAAAACTGACTTAGCATTTGAAATCCTCGATTTGAGATTGACACAGCTAAAATTATATCCCTGCTCCTCTTCAAAAAGAAAGATGCAGGCATGTAGCAGAAGAGTTCATCCCCTGGGAAGCTGAGCTAGCAGGTAATCAGGATGCTAATGTCGATGCTGCAGGGAAACCCCAGAGCCAAAATGCTGAAACATCTTTTGTTTGGGCAAGGATGAGCTCCAGAAATAGAGGTTTCCTCTGACAGATGGGGAAAAGTCCACTTTTCCTTGAATCTGTGGTTTATTTAGGGTTTTTTTCCAGATTTATTGACTAGGAGCTTCCTACGTTATTGAGTCCTCTGCCCCTACAACAGTGAAGGGTGTGTTATTTTTCAGCTGATGCCAGATATTATGGGCCAGATCCCATCTCCTTCCCTCTGTCTTCATGGTCAGCTTGCCCCACACCCAATTTATGAGTTGAATTACAGATGAGTGTAATTTAGGGCTGGTGAGGAGAGGCACGGCGTGGTGAGCTGCTGTCAGTATCCTTGCACCTCTGGGGTGTGTGCTGCTAAAAACTGCAGCATTTGCCACTGCAGGGCTGAGAAAATCAAACCCTGGTTCAGTCAAACTCTTCCCTCTCAGCCCCGTTGAAGCTGTATGTCCATGGACACGTCTCTACAGAGAGGCTGTCCCCAGAGAGAGGAGGGTTTGTGCCCCTCAAGGAGTGTGGGGGGCTCATCCCTGCTCCTCAGAGGACAGCTCTGGCTTGCTGGTCTGGGGAGAGATGGAGGGGAGGAGATTTGTCTCTGTACTCCAGAGCCTGGACTGATAAATGATCTCATCTACAACCCCAAATGCTCTTTAGCTTCTGTTCTATTATGTAGCCTGTCAGCATTGCTATTAATTTTCCTGAGGAGAGCATGGAGTGTGGGCTGCCTGGCTTTGCCTGCAGCCTCATGGCCAGGGTGGCAACCTCTCCAGTGGCCACCCACTTCAAACCAAACCTGCCTGTGCTGCAGGACCCCAAACCTGTGCTCTGCACTCATTCAGCCTCCAGTTCTGAGCAGAGGGCTTAGGGACGACCACAGAGGTGGGTGTTGGATGCTTGGATGACCTCCAAGGAATTCCAAAAACCAAAGGCACAGCAAGCAGAGCGTGGACTGGAGTTGTGAAGATCTAGAGCTACGATTTCACTCATCCCTGCTGCTCCTGAAGAAATGCTTCAGCTCTGGGTGGCTCATTACCAGAAAATAACCCAAGTAGTTGTGTGCTCCTTTCCCTGGCTCTCCCCAGCTCAGGAGTCTCACTTTTCTTCTGCTTGGGGCTGTGCCTGGGCAGCTCAAGAGTCATAATTTTGGCCCTAACAGCGCTTTGGTCTCTTCAAAGCGTTGTAGAAACCTTCAATTAAGCATTTCTCTACCTGTAAGAGAGGGAGGGAGCACCAAGCTCACCTGGCAGGTGGAGAGGCTGGGCTCCCACCCACCCAGGTGGCAAGCTGTGCTTCAGGAGCCAGGCTCAGCTGCCACCCTCTTTCCCAACCCCTCTTGTGGTTATAGAGGAGGTTGGAATCTATGACACATGTTTTTTTAAAGCTGAGAGTTGCAAGCTACTCAGGAAAATACCAGGCATCCCCAAAGTGTCTGGATAAGCTCAAAAAATAGCACTCGTCCTGTGTTAGGCT